ATGAGAAACTATTTTGTTCTGTAAGCCTGCATCTTAAGTGAGAATAACAGCACAACTGGAGAGCACAGTCGATGTCACTGAACTGTGCATGTACAAATTTTTGAAATGGTGTATCTTTGGCTATGTATATTTTCACTCGAAAAAAAAAGGTCAAGAAGGGAGAAGATTGACATCTCATGGGGTTGTTAACCAATGTTATAAAACAATATGTGTACTACTGTTTAATGAGAAACTATTTGTTCTGTAAACCTTCACCTGAAGTACAATTAAAAAAAAAAAACCTCCCTATATTTACCTCATATTTTTCTTTCTTAAAGAAAGAGAATATTTTAACTACAGTTAAAAAAAAAAAAAACCACTTTTTGCATACTTCCCTGATCAAAATACCCTCCCCTTCCCCAGATACAATCACCAAATTGAAGATGTGTATCCCTCCATTGGAGCCCTGGCAGCGAAGTGGTTAAGAGCTCAGGCTGCTAACCAAAAGGCTGGCAGTTCGAATCTACCAGCCACTCCTTGGAAACCCTACGGGGCAGTTCTACTCCGTCCTATAGGGTCATTATGAGTTAGAATTGACACAATGGCAACAGATTTGGTTTATATTGAATGAATAATGAGTCTTTTCCTATGTTTACTGGTCATCTGGGTTTTGTTTCCATGAACTCACATTTACATCCTTTATTCTTCTACTGGGTTGTATTTTCTAACTGATTTTTTGGAGGTTCTTTACATATTGTGGATATTAATCCTTTGTCAGTTATAGTCATTCAAAATATCTTCTTCAGCCTTGTCATTTTTCATTTTGTTTACGGTGCCTTTTAATGCAAGAAAATTCAAAATGCAGAGGAATTTAATCCATCTTTCTTTTCCTCATGACTTTTTTTTATATCTTTGTTGTTACTAATATAACACAGCAGAACATACGCAATTCAACAATTTCTACGTGTACAATTCAGTGACAATGATTATATTCCCCAAGTTGTGCAACCATTTATCACCCTCCTTGTCCGTCCCCCATTAACATAAACTCACTGCCCCCTAAGTTTCCTACTTAATCTTTCGAATTGCTGTTGTCAGTTTGATTCCATGTAGACAGATCTTAAAAGAGCACAATGCTCAAGACAGACATTCTCTACTAGTTAAGCTAAAACCACTGTTTAGTTTTAGGAAGCCTTTGGGGATAGTTTTGGTTTAACTTTTAAAGACTATCTCAGGGCAGTAGTTTCAGGGGTTCATCCAGCCTCCATGACTCCAGAAAGTCTGGGTTCCATGAGAATTTGAAATTCTGTTCTGCATCTCTCCCTGCTTCTGATTATAATTCTTCTATAGAATTTTTGATCAAAACATTAAGTAATGGTAGCTGGGCACCAGCCTGTTCTTCAGGTCTCATGGCAAAGGAGGCAGTTGTTCCTGGAACCAATCAGCCATGTGTACCACCTCCTGCTCCTATTCCTTACTCTCCTTGTTCCCTCATGACTTTCTGTATCTTATTTAAGAAATCAGTCTCTACCACAAGGCCAAACAGGACTCTGGCTTTTGTCTCTACTCAGTGATTTTCATTTCTAATCTGGTTCTCTTTCCACAGATATGTTTGTTTTTAACACAACTATGACCTTTTAAATGAATTTTCTCTCTTGAATCACTGCTATGTGTCTGCAATAGAAAGGGGTTTCTACGTATGAACTTAATACTATCTCAACCTAAACTTCCACGTTGCTTAAAACTTCTAAAATTAGGGTCAAGGGTAACCTATCTGAAATGCCTAGATCGTCTATTCCTAATTATCCCTGATTCTTAGACTAAACGTTGGCTGTCAGTCATCATTCTGTGTTAGCTCAACTATCATCTTCTTAAACATCTCCCCCCTTCAGTCTTTCATTATCTGCTTTTATTTTCTTCACAGCATTTATCATTATTAAAAGTATGTGTTTAGTTCTTTATTGTATGTTTCCCCTACCATTAGACTATAAGCTTCATCAAAGTAAGAACTTTGCTGTATCCTCAACATGGAAAAGAGAGGAAACATAAGTGCAAAGATAATAACTTGTTCCAGATCTCCTCAACCTCTTTTATAATCTCTTTCTATTACATACATTTAGACTTAGTGTTGTATTCTTACGAATTCCATGTCCAAAATTATAAAACATCACTAACATTCTTAAATGAAAGCAAATTCTAATTATATCTAGAATTAAATCTTTATTATAATTTAAATTAATATGAAGTAGATTAAGCTTTAAAACAGCCATAAATTTCGTTTTTTCTTTACTAGAAGAAATCTCTTTGCTACTAAAAGCACTAAGAACCCCTTCATAAATAGTTAATTGTGGCTTACTTAAAACAAATAGAATAGGAAAAGGTACCAGGAGGAAAACACAGAAAACTGTAGCTTTGTTTTTTAATGAGGTTATAGATAAACAGTAACTACAAAAGTAAGCGGAGAGTGCCCTCTTCTCGTAATGTGGTTTTGTAACTTTTATATAATGTAATTTTCTTAAATTAAAAAGAAAAAACAGGATAGTGAGAATAGCAGCACAACTGGAGGAATGTAAACGATGTCACCGAATTGTACATGTAGACATTTCTGAAATGGTTATCTCTGGCTATGTATATTTTCACCAAAAAAAATAATAAAGGTCCTCCAGAGTCTAAATAAATAATAAAAAACAGAAAAAATAAACAAAAGCTAGAAAATCAGCAGACTTACTGACCCTTTCTCAACATTTTCTTTTTTGTTGTAGGGGCAGACGAAATAAGTGCACGTGCAAACTCTGAATCGTCTTTAATCGTGGAAGATCCTGCTGAAGAAAACCAACAGAATTACTAAGATATAAAACAAACTCTCCCCTATGCTTAGGTACACATACTTTCTTAGGAGATAGAATACCACTTCATGTTCTCTATGTTAGGAGCTTATATATTAAATAAAAATAATATTTAGTAAGCAGAGTTGCCACTTCTGACATTAACCATTTATCTCCAGTTCAGAGAAGTGATGTATGTGATTCATGGTAGACTGCTATCTTCTCTCTGAGAAAGAAGAGTGAAAGAAGAGCTTTTGCTATTATTAGGTGCTGTAGAGTCGATTCCAACTCATAGGGACCCAATGTGACAGAGTAGAACCGCCCCACAGAGTTTCCTAAGCTGTAATCTTTACGGAAGCAGATCGACAGGACTTTCTTCCTGCAGAGCCACTGGGTGGGTTCAAAACCGCCAACCTTTAGGTTAGCACCCAAGCAATTAACCATTGCATCAGCAGGGCTCCTTAAAGTAAGAGCAGCCATATGCAAAATGATCCTGCTCCCAGGAGTAAGAATTTTTTCAAGAAATAGATTTTTGACTTCCGGTGATGAGGCTGCCTAAAGTCAGTGGTGAACAGTTATTTTCCTAATTCAACACAATCTCTCTACTAATTAGGAATATATAAGGAAACATGATCTTCATTCAAGGAAAAGAAAGTAAATCATGTGTTTTAAAAATACAGGAAAAAAATAAGATACTCACTGATTACTTTTACATCTATATGATAATGTGAATTAACAATCATAGTACTACAAAGAGGGCACTCCCAACCTACTTTTGTTACTATGTATACATATACAAATAAGGTTTTAGTAAAGTCATTTTATAAGTAGTAGAACACTATTTTTATTTCACTTAATGGACGTTTAAATATTATCCTTTAGATTTTAATTGAAACCATTCACTCTGTTTGCTTCATTCATTTGATTCATTTATCACCCTTGGTAAGCTTCATCCCATGAAGAGTTCAAAGGTAAAGATCAGCCAAGGTTAAGACCCATTATTAAAGAATTCAAAGCTAAATATACGCAAATCAATGGATTTTTACTTTAGTGGTCTCCAAGTACAGATTACAGGTACTGAGAAAACGTATAAACATACCTTTTCCCCTGCTTTTAGTCTCTGACTTTGCATTTTTCAGTTTACCTAAAAACAAAACCAAAGTAAACATAAAATGAGTCATACTAGGAAATTAGAATATAGGACATAATATCAAATCAAATTCCATTTCATATTACCTTTTGTTTTCTGCGGTAATTCAGTTGTTTCAAATTCCTCTGAATCACTGCTTTCTATATACTTGTCAGCAGTTTTTCTTCTAAAATTAAACATACACAAAGAAATTTTTTACCAACCCACAAGATGGAATATAAAACCGTAAGTTTAATAAATGTAATACAAATGCTTTTGTTTTGCCCTTAACTATTTTTTGAAAACCTTTTGAAGGGAAAATTTTATTTGACAAAGGAAAGTCAAATATGATAAAAAGCAATCTGCTTTCATAACTACATGTGATAAAAAGCAATCTGCTTTCTTAACTAGATGCATTTACTATCCAAACTATAGTACCACTATTACTGAAAATAAATTGGAAGAATTAAACCATTCTAAAAAGGTAATCATTTCAATGCTGAGTTCAATATTTGGTAATTGAAATATTTATATAAGACTAGAACAAAACAAAAAACAAGGCCCTTAGCAAAGAAAACACTTCCAGTACAATAAGTAGCCAAAAAGCACAAATGTAATTCTTTCACAATGAAAACTTCTGTGTAGAAACAGTATAGCACAGTGGTTAAGTGGCTAAGAACACTGGACTCCAGAGTGAAGACAACCTAGAATCAAATCCCCATTCCGAAACTTGTTGACTATGGGACTTCTGGTAAGTCACCTAATATTCTCCTATGCCTGTTTCCTCATTTGGAAAATGGGAATAAAAATAAAATCTACCTCATAGGACAAAATGTGTTAATATATGTGAAAGCCTGCATAGTAAACACATATGGGTTAGTACACTGTGTATGTTGTTGTTTCAGTTTTTCCATACCCTCATTATTCCCACGTTCTTTAATTTGGTCTGGTCTACCAAATAATGCTGTTGAACAGGTTTATGGTCAATCCAGAGTCGTAAGATTTGAGATCTACACGAGGTTCTGTGCTCAGTTTAAATGGGTATTGATGACAGAACAATGAACAAAGCCACAGTTTAAAGATCTTTGTTGGTGGGATAGCTAACAGACACCCAGACTGGAGGTCATACTTGCACTGATGGTGGACAATGCAACAAGGGCCCAGTATTTCAATCTACTGCACAGGGTAAATGAAGTCTATAAAGTTAACACAGGCCCATTTCAAGGTGAGAACAGAGGGGCATTATGTTTTCTATTTAAATTCTCCTTCTAGTCTATGTTAATACTCTCCATAAATAACTTTAAGGAGCTCTGGTGGCACAGTGGTTAAGTTCTTGGCTGCTAACCGAAAGGCTGGCGGTTCAAACCCCCAGCTCTCTGTGGGAGAAAGTTGTGACAGTCTGCTTCCGTAAAGATTTACAACCTTGGAAACCCTATGGGGCAGTTCTACTTCGTCCTATAGGGTCACTATGAGTCAGAATCGACTCAGGACAATGGGTATGGGTTTTGGTATAAATAACTTTATCATGTCTTATTTCCACTACAGGTGAAATGAAAAAAACTGAGATGAGCAAAGAACATTTTTGCCAAGCCATGCAATACCTATTCTTCAGTTTTCATCCCCTCAAATCCATAGAGAAAATTCTTGTAAAGTACCGAGAAATTTAAAAAAAAACAGGCACTAGATTTGTTCACAGGTAAAAGAAATAGAAACGAAAGTGACAGAAAGATGAGTAGTTATCAAAAATTAGCAATCCACATCTTTTACAGATCAATACTACTTTTCTTCAATAGTAAAATAAGAACGCCCTACCTGCCTAAGTCACAAGTGATTTTGGCAGTTTCAAATTAAAAAAAAAAGTATTTGAGAGAACGTGTAACTGAGATATAACGGTCATTTCTCTCCCCTGTATATGTAAGAACACTGAGTTTAAATAAATGTATTACATACAATCAAACCATAATACAGTTTACCTTTTGGGGCGGGAGCTAGAAAATTCTGACATGGGGTATTTATTCTTTTCCTTGATATCTGAAATACTGGATTCTTTGCTACATCTAGATCCTTCTATTTCAAAGAAAAAGACAAATATCATACAGAGTATTAGTAAATTGTCTTAGACTAGCAGTACTTCTCTTAATAACTTGGTTTTCTAACTCAATAGCTCAATTTTCCTAAGATCTTCATTCCTTTCAAGTCCTGTTTTCTCAGTTAATCAGCCAGCTACTCTCTTTACGTGTTTCCTAAACTAATATTTTCTCACTAGAAAGTTCTTCAATCTCTTGTGACCCAGTCTGAACCATGTAGTCAATCCCCACACTGGCTAAATCTCCTGCAGTACCCAGGCTACTGAGAGCTGCTGAAAAAAAAAAAATAACAGAACCGCAAATCAGTGGTACTGTAAATTTATATTTTCAAAGCTCAGCTGTGGCCTTGTGTCATTTAGCAACTCTTACCTATGACTGTTCAGTCTCCCTCCCCACTCGCCAGAATGATCCTTTGCCTGGATTCCAACTCTTTTTTTCACTCCCAGCACACAGCTTAGTTCACGTCACAGAGAACATCAGATGCCATCTTCCAAAAACTTCCCATTTCCCTCTGTCTTTATCCCCTCACTTCTCTATAATTTCCTTCAACCATACTTCCTTTCCTTATGATGCAGGGAAGATGTCCCCTTCCAACTCATCTAACTATTCCTTTAATCACACTGCCTCCCACATGCCAACCAATTATTCTCTCTATTGTACCCACAACCTCTTTCTACCCACAGATGTCTTTCCTACAATCAGAAAAATAAATAAAACAGAAACACTCTCAACTCAACCTCCCTCTCCAACTATTACTCTATGTCCCTTTTCCCAAACTTAGCACAACAGTGCACAGGTGTTAACTTCCAATACTTCACCAACTATTCTTCTCTTAAAATATTTTCCAGTCTTGCTCTGCTCTAACCAATCTTCAGAAATTAATTTTGTGAAGCTCATCTAACTGCTAAACACAGAGATCTGATTTCATTTCTCTTCCAACTTCAGAATTTGGCCCTTAACCTGTCTTTCTAGCTTCATCTAGCAACAGGTAAAGTGATCCCTGCACATTCTATTATAAATACCATAAGATCCCAGAATAAAACATGCTATATTTTTTTACTGCCCTCTCATGGGATTTTTCTCAACCAACATTGGTTTTTCACAGCTCTCTGCCTGGAGCTCTACCACCCAACGCAAATATCACAACTCCTGGATGAAACTTTCCTTAACAGTCCTCGTGACGTTCTTTAGAAAGAGATATCCTAAATTTCTCTATAGCACAAAACCATCAGAGATCAAATATTGAGTCACATTCAAGATTAAAGTTTACCTTTGATTAGTCCATCTGCTTTTTCACTGGTATTTCCTTCAAGTTTCACAGAGTCATTGTTAACATTACATTCCTGGAGAAACAGACATAACTCTTATACGGTATTGCTATCAGGTTTAAATAAATTTAAAACGCATCTATTTTATATTGCTTTACTTTACATAAAACAAACAAAAACAGCTGTCGTTGAGTTGATTCTAACTTATGGCAACCCCATGTATTTCAGAATAGAACTGTGCTCCATTGGGTTTTCAACGTCTGTGATCTTTCCACAGCAGAGTTCCAGTAGTTTCCCAGGCGTCTCTGGGCGGATTGAAATTGTTAACCTTTCAGTTACTGGCCCAGGGCTTAACCATTTGTGCCACCCAGGGTAGGGACTCCTTTACATAATAAAGACTACTTAAATTGCTACCCCATTCCGGAGCACTGGGGAGGAATGAAGCAAGTGAAAAGAAAAAAATGTCTAAATGTATAAAGAACAGGACACAAAGAGGCTATTCAGGACAGAGAACTGGATCTGAGATAACTGAGTTAACTTCCAATGAAAGCAGAAAGAAGAAAACGCTGCTAAGTTCAGAAAATAATGAAATAGAATCTCAGTAAGTTCTGGCAGGAAACTGATGTGCAGCCTCTCTGAAAACTAAAAAACGAGAACAGTTATTCAAAACAGTCCAAAAGCAGTATTTTGCACACACATTTTTAGTTATTTCCTACTTTAAGCTCTTTGGATTTCAAGTAAGAATAAAGGATAATTGTTCCTTCCTAGTAACATTTATCTTTCTCATTAATTCATTTTACATTCTTACAAATATAAATACATCGTGTATATATATTTATAAATATATATAAGTTAAATACAAAGAAAAGTCACCCATATTCCCATCACTAGGTGTGATGTTAAGATTATGTGTCAACTTGGCTGGTCCTTGATTCTCAGTGGTTTGGCAGTCGTATAATGTTATGATCACTTCCCTGTTGAGATTTAATATGTGATCACCCCCATGACAGGACCTGCTGTGGATGGTCAATCAGCTGAAACGGAGTTTCCTTGGGCGTATGGCCTGCATCGAATATAAGCGGACATTCTGGCAAGGCTTGGGGGCTTTTCGCTCACGCTGGATCCTGCGGCTGGCTCCTGTTCATCAGACCTCCGGTTCTTGGGACTTCAGCTAGCAGCTCACCTACGGTCTTGCCTGCCAGTCTTGGGATCCATCAATCTTTGCAGCCTGTGAGCAAGAGCCCTGCTCTCTAAACTGCTGATCTTGAGTTTGGCAACCCCTGCGGCTACATGAATCAGGAGAAGCCTCTATCCTGACCCACATGCTTGGGACGTTCCAGACTCTACAACCATGTGAGCCATTTCCTTACTATAAATCTCTCTCTCTACATATACATGTATGTGTGTGTGTATATATATATACACATATATATATACTTTTATATATATATATATATATATATACTTATATATATATATATATACACACACACACACACATATACACTTACATGCTTTACTGGTTTTACTGCTCTAGAGAATCTAGCCTCAGACACTAGAAGGTAATTATCACTATTAACATTTTGGTACATACAGCAGGTATACTTACTTAGACGTACATGAACACATACAGTAAATTCTCATTTACAGTAGGTATGCTCTATAAAGTCAGCACAAACACTGAATCAGCAAATACTGAACTACTGCTCCTTGGGGAAATATAGGGCTAGATTCCTGAGAGCTTCTGATCACGATATTTTCGTCAACTAATCAATACATAACATGTGTGTTCTGTTTAAAAACACCTTATTTAACATATGCTGTCGATTCACTAATACTGAATGCACAGCCAGCAGCACTATAACTCATGCCTGAACGAAGGTTATCTAATACACGTTTTCTCCATAGGGCACATCACAGTCTTTTTGCACTTAGGAATACTAGACAGCACTACATTTGGGCGCCCATTTTAAATGTGAAATCACCAACAAAAAAGCACAAAAATGCAAAAAATGTGGCACTAAATGTATCATGAAAAGGATACCAATTTACAGTATGATAGCTGAAACAAGGCAGCTCCAATTACTCACAGCTCTGCACATGTTCACAAATGACTGCAAAAGTGCCAAGAGCACTGATTTGGGGCTTACAGATAAATTGTAGCAAGCAGACTAATTCACAAATATGGAATTCATGAATAATTAAGGAAGTCCATATGCAGATTTGTACCTGGCTTTTTTTTTTTTTTTTTTAAACTAAAAATCATGAAGATGAGTATTCTTCAAAAGTAGAATTTTTGTGGTTACATAATAAATTTCATGGTTCTATCATAATTTAACTGATCTCTTAATGAGATCTGCCTTTCAAGTAATGTTGGGAAGAATAAAAAAAAAAAAAACTTGTATTTATATTCTGGGGAAAAAAAGGAATTTCTGCTAACTTCTTTAGATAGTTTCCCAGAAACAGTATTACTGTGTTAAAGATTCTAAGTACATTTAAGGCTCTCAGAACACGGAACCAAATGGCCCTCAAGCAGGCGGTACCAGCTTTCACTCTCACTAACACATGAGAGCGGCCATTCACTGTATCTCTGCAAACAGTGGCTATTATCAGTATTTTTGGCCAATATTTTTAACAGCAAAATTAAAAGGTTGCACAGCAAATCAGAAGCATCAAAAGAAATGCACTTACTAATACTTTACCTTCTTCAGTTGATTCTTTTTAATTCTTTCAACAGGAAGAGGTGTGCCATCATGGAAGTTGGTAAGAATTACAGCAATGGCTGTAAGAGTTTTGCCCTTTAAAATGTTTTAAAAAGATAAATGGTTAGATTCTAGAACCTAGTTGACCAGGGAATATTCCAAAAGCAATTTTAAAATAATCAAGTTATCAAATATCATTCAAGAAAACAGGGTATAGTGATCACTATATAAAGCAACATACATATTAATAAAAAATGAGCATTATTACATTGACTAAGTTAGGAAATGCTTTCCCCACTGCACTATTGGGAATTATTAAATGACTTACATATAAAATACTATGAACATCTCTGAGAAATGTCACCTTACTGAAATAGTGCTATGTTAAGATTCTTCATTTAACACTCTGAACTATTAATTTTATCATGAAACTACTTACTACTTGCTTACCACAAAATTTACAACTAATTTAAAATTAGTTAATTCCGGTATACATATAAGATGACCATTTTATTACATTCGATTTAAATACAATACCAAGACTTAAAAGCATAACTTATCAATAAAGCGTAAAGGATACAATATTTCTTAAGCATTTCTCTTAAATGAAAACAAGTAATTTTTCAGTATTTTCTGCAGCTAAATTTATAATTAGCAATATAGAAATAAGTATCTGGCTATTTTTAAGTAGTACAAAGCAGCAGTCCTCAAACTGTGGTCCCTGGACTTCTCGGGGTCCCCAGAAGCCTTTCAGGGTTATATGAGGTCAGAAGTATTTTCGTAACACTAAGAAAGAAAAACCAAACACATTGCCATCGAGTTGATTTCGACTCATAACAACCCTATTGGACAGGGTAGAACTACCCCATAGCGTTCCAAGGCTATAATCCTTACGGAAGCGGACTGCCACATCTTTCTCCCGCAGAGTGGGTGGTGGGTTCAAACCGCCTTTTAGTTAGTAGCTGAGCGCTTAACCACTGCACCATCAAGGTTCCTCTTCACAATCCTACTAAGACCTTATTTGTGTTGACATCTGCACTAATGCTATAAACATCAATAGTAGGTAAAACTGCTGGTACCTTAGCAGTTTTGAAACACAGCAGTTGGCACTAAACTACACTGTCACAGATTCTTTAAAAAAAACCAGTTTCACTTAAGAATGACCTTGATGTAGTACATACTAATTTTATTAAATATCAACCCTTAAGTACATATCTTTTTAATATTCTCTATAACAAAATGGGAAGTATACATAAAAAACTTCTGTTGCATGAGGGTTGTCTGAAGAAAAAGATCACTTGAGAGATTGCTGCAAGCTCACTACCCACTTTTTCCATGAACACCTTTTTTTACTCAAAAAAATGTCAAGCAACTGTAGTTAGTCATGACTGAGTGTACAGCACACATTTTCTTGGCAATGAGCAAAGTGAGACTGTCACCTTCAAGGAAAATAACTGACAGTATTTGATGCCACTAATTTGAGCTTTAAGAGAAAATCAGAATGTTGGAAAACTTATATACAATACTATGATGTAGCAGCTTCCTAAAATGGAAATGCTTTTCTAGAATTTAAGATCAAAGGTAATATGAATGAATGTAAATTTCTGCATCAACACGCGGCAGATCTACATAACTCAGAGTGAACCAAGAGTCTCCAAATAAGCAATGCCTGATATTAGAAAATCAATCATTCCAATCGCAAGATACACCAATGAGTTTTAACGGGAGAGCACACTACTGAAAGTCCACTGATACGGCCACTGTTCTAAGATAGCTTTTGTTTTGGAAAACAGTGTTATTTTTCATTTCAAAATATGTTATTCATCTTAACATGTAATGAGTTTATTAGTTATTTTTAAGTTAATAAATCTTTTAATTTTTTTCTTCCCTAATACAGTAAGTAGAAATCCTGGCGGCACAGTGGTTAAAAGCTACTACTGCCGCTAACCAAAAGGTCGGCAATGCAAATCCACCAGGTGCTCCTTAGAAACCCTATGGGGTAGTTCTGCTCTGTCCTACAGGGTCGCTATGAGTCGGAATCGACTCGACAGCAATGGGTAATACAATAAATATTGATACAACCCACAAAAACAAAAGCTCTTTGGGGTCCTCAATAAATTTTAAGTGTGTAAACAGGTCCGAGACTGAAAAATGTAAAACCTGCTGGTATAAGGAATCATACCCGCTGCCAAACCCATTGCCACGGTGTCAATTCTGACTCATAGCGACCCGACAGGACAGAGTAGAACTGCCCTTATAGGGTTTCCAAAGAGTGGCTGGTGGAGTTGAACTGCAGCAGCTGAGCGGTGAACCACTCTGCCACTAGGGCTCCATATAAAGAATCATAAATATATATATTTTACACTCCGTATATCACAGTATTTGTTAGACAATACAAGCACAATTTCATCTAAGATTGTCCCGTCTTTACTTTTTTAAAGAAAACTCATGAAAGACAGGTTTCCCTGAATGTGAAAGGGCAAAGAAAATTGAGAAAGACATGCTTACAGCTACCTAATTATTTTAATTGTACCATAACCAAATCTCAAAATACACGCACGCACGCAAGCCGTTCAGGATTATTTTAAGTGAAAACCACAGGAAAAACTGCGTTCTACATTGAAAGTAAAATCTACTCCCAAACAGAAAAAAGAAGTCATTACCAAACCCATATCATCAGCTAAAATTCCTCCATGGACATTTTCTGGTCGGTCCTTCTCAGAAAAATTTGTGATCGTATTATAGTATAAATCATTTCGCTGTTCCCAGAATGGTGGGAGATCTTCACTGTTTTCCCGTGACACCATCCAAGCTAGAGCTTGTTTTTGATGTGGAAGTAATAGTGTTTCAATAGCCTATAAATAAATGTCATAAACAGAAATACGATAAGTCCTTTCTCTTTCCACATACAGACCCTGAAAAAAAAGTTGATCTTATGATAGAAAATGTACAGAATAATGCATATTTTAAAATTCCAAATAGTTTTAAATAGAAACAGTGCCTCAATACCTCAGCTGGTTCCATTTCATGAGTTTTATCATCTTCTTTTAAATCTTCAAACAATTTGTCAAATTCTGTTTTAAGCTGCAATTAACAAGAACAAACCAATTAAAGTAAAAATTCGACTTATGTCAGGGATTAAATCATGCAACTAAAAGAGTCAAACACCAAAAATAAACTTTTCTTTGGGATGCTATACTGATCACTAAAGGCAGAATAAATAGGTGTTTCAGGTGTTAAGAGGTAACTGGGTTGCAGTCAAAAGAATATAAAACTGAGTTGTACGTCCTGGATTTCAGTAACTGCTCTGTAACAAATCAACCTATATATAAATTTTGGTAAGACATTTAACCTTTATGGCCCTGTATCTTGAAATGTAAAGGGACGAACTAAATTTAAATTGTGTCTAAGGTTCCTTCTGCCATTGAAATTCTGTGATTCTATTAGTGATATTCAAACCATTTGGTATATCCTACCAGATGCACTGGAATCTTTTTCAAGTAAATGACATTCCATTTTTTATTACTGCAATAGGAACTTACTATGTGCTATAAGATACTCGGATGATTTCAGTGCTACACTAATCTATTTATTTATTTAACTTGACTGAGTTCAATTTTATAGCAACAAGTATGTGTTATACTTTTATAAATAAGCATGTGAACATACAGCAGCAGCCTAGAAGAAATCAGGCCAGGTCTAAAAAATTAGAACTTGGGGTTTGCCCATCAAACACAGCCTCAAGCCCTTTTAACAATGAGTAAGGAAAATACGATAAGTACATTTAAAAAACAAAACAACTAACACTGGTGAGTAAAGACATTGAAATTTTTTTCACATTATTTGTAGATTATGTTAATTTATTGTATAGATACCTTTTTTTCAAATGAATGAATACCATCAGTTTCCAACTCAACAGTATCTTGGATTACAAATTAGACAACATAAGAACTAGAGAGCAATGCAAAGATTTGAAGCTAATTTTTTAGCACTGCATCTGCAACCTTACTAGGAGCAATAGGTTTCAAGAATTAATTGTTTTTCAATTAATACTGTAAAAATTTCAAACAACAGAAAAGCATCTCATGTCTAGTCATGTGTCTTTATGTATGTACAAATACATGTGTATGGACTAGATTTCTTATCACTGCTTTCTTTTTACATAACTGTTTTACAAACTAATATACATGTATATATGGTATTTATTCTACAACACACTTAATTATAACCTAACAATATGTATGAAGATCATTAAACCAGCACATACATATTTGCTTTTTCCTTTTTAACACAGCAATCTCAACCTTTACAATTCAAATTTAGACTACAAAATAAAAGAGAAGCATACCTGTTCAGTAGTCATCTGTACTGCAGCATGAACTGGCATACTATAGCTTGGTCCAGCTCTTCCAGAGCCCCAGTTACTTTCCAAACTGAATCCTAAAGCTATTAATTACAAAATGAAAACAATAAAATCACCAAATAAGCTTTCTTTCCTATGAAGTAGTTTTCAAACTTGCATTGTAAACTATATTCAAAATTCTCTAAAAAAGAAGCTAAATTCTAGATCATTTTTTTAAAAAATATTAAAATAACTCTGTTATTTGAGCAAACTCTTGCCAAACAAACCTCTTCTTCTTGTCCATAATTTATCAATGAGAATATTTAAAATTCAAGATTTCCAGAGGTTACCACCGAAAGAAACAGTAAAGAGGACATGGGACGCCTCCCAGCAATTTTTTTTTTTTGTTTTGGTAACTCCCTGTGAACCTTTAATTATTTGAAAGAGTTAAAAAAAAAAAAAAAATCCGGGATTTCCTCAAAGAGACTCCTTAAAAAAATAAATAAATAAATTATAACTTGGAAAGTTTAGCCCCAATTACTTTGGTCAACCAAACTCAAAGTATTACTTAAGAGAATAAATGTTTTACAATCAAAATAATGGTAAATTAACTAATGGACCACAGCTACCAAGGCCTCCACCAGACTGAGTCCAGCATAGCTAGATGGTGCCCGGCTACCACCATTGACTGCTCTGACCAGGATCACAACAGAGGGTTCTGGACAGAGCTGGAGAAGGATGTAGAACAAAATTGTAACACATAAAAAAAAGACCAGATTTACTGGCCTAAAGGAGACTGGAGAAACCCCAAGAGTATGGCCCCCAAACACCCTTTTAGTTCAGTGGTGAAGTCACTTTCGAAGTTCACCATTCAGCTGGGGATTGGACAGCCTCATAAACCAAAACGGGACTAATGAGGCTGGGGACTGAACAGCCCCATAAAACAAAACGGGACTAATGAGGCACAGCAGTCCAAGGACAAGGGCTAGAAGGCAGAAGGGGACAAGAAAGCTGGTGATAGGGAACCCAAGGTTGAGCAACGACAGTGTTGATGTGTTGTGAGGTTGTTAACCATTGTCATAGGGCAACATGTGTACTCACTGTTTAATGAGAAACTATTTGTTCTGTAAACCTTCACCTGAAGTACAATTTTTAAAAAAGGGCAAAAAAAAAAAAGGGTAAATTAAGCTCTAAACTTACTTTTTGGTGGAGGAATCAATTTAAATCCATGTTTCTTCAACTGATCTAAAACCACTTTTCTATTTTCTTCTCTTCCCCAAAAAGCCATATGCAGAGGCATGGTAAAAGCATTGTTTGCACCAAACGGAACTACCCTATTATATTCAGAAAGGAAAATATGGGAAATTAGAAGTTTCTTTTTTTTTTTTTTAACCATTAAGAATCTGTTAAATATTCTAAGCATATCATTCAAACATTGCATTGGAATAAAATAAAAAAGAACCAGGTTGGGCAGACCAGGAAAAGAGCGAGGAATAGAATCAAGAACAATCAGAAAATGGTGGTTTTTAAGAACCGACTGCCAAGAGAAACTGAGAAGGTGGGATAAAATACTCTTAAAATACAAGGATATCCTGTGACTGAGATTGTAAGATAGTAAAATAGTACAAGAGGATAGCGCTTTGGTTAACACAACTGTTGAAGATAGCAAACCAATTCTGCTGGGAGAATGGGAAATGCTCCAGAAGAACTATTTCTGATCCAGGATTCATTAGAAGTTTATTCTCAATACCATAAAAACTTGATGAATTTAAAAAGAAGAAAACAAGTAAAGGAAGACAGAGACTCTTTTCATATCCTAAATATTTAAATTGAGATCACAAACACAAATGCCTGGAAAAGAAAAGGTAACTTAAAAGAGGCTGAGAGTTCAAGAAAAACAGAAGTGTTGAAACCAGAGAGTGTACGCCCCATCCAAAGAAACAGCTGCTACTCAGCTCCAGTTAACTGATGCCACGTGGGAATGAGGGTCCAGCATTGCCAGAACTTCCATTTGTCAAGAGAAAATCTTTGTAAATAATTTTTACATTTAGGAAGAAAAGCTAATACGTATAAAATGGGAAATACCCTGATATTTGAATACTAGCATGAATGATAAAAATTTAAAACACTGTGCAAAGTGAAACTCAGCTACATCTGATCACAGGCTACCAGTTTAACCTCTGATTTAAACACTTCTAGACTCCCAAGCCTACATGCCCAAAGGTTTTGAGAGATATGTGGATTTCCCCTAATATTTGAACCAAAGTCTGTATTTCTCCAGTAGCAAAGTAAGAAGATACCTGTCTAATGGCTAAAGCAGTGGAGGAAGAAGAGAGAATGAAAACATTTATTGAATACATACTAAAGGTTCAGGAATATAAGGATAGGTTTGCACACCACCACAATGAACATAATTAATGGCACTAAATAGTACATGTAAAAAATATTGAAATGGCAAATGATGTTATATACCTTCTCCTTACTTATCAACTACCTCGTTACCCGACATTTCACATTTACGACAATAGTAAAAAACCTACTATCCGACAATTTTGTGCATTAACAGCCTAGGTCCAGCAGTAACAAACACCAAGATGCAAGGCGAGAGTGACGCTGGCTTTGATGATTAAGGCTATGTGTCAACTTGGCTGAGCCATGATTTCCAGTGGCTTGGCAGTTATATAATAATATAACTTGGCAGTTGTGTAATGATGCAGTCATCCTCCATTTTGTGATTTGGTCACCCTACATTTTTGCCTAACACTGATTTTGCTTAACAATCTGGTCTCTGGAACCTAACCATGTAGATAAACAAGGAGAGGGTGTAAACAGATTTACCACAATTTAAAAAAAATGTTAGGGTACCTACACATCTTCTAGCAAGAAGCCTTGACAAGTTCAAAGATAACTACCTTTTCACAATTATTAAAAATAAACTCTCAAAGTACATTACCCTTCAACTTGTGCCAACTTGTTGTCCATGATATAGGCCAAAACAGCTGCAAGATCTTTCTTTACATGGCCAACCTGATTTCCATTCACATTGTTTACTTTAATCGCATTCTTATCATAGGGGTTATCAGGCTCTCGTTGTAAGGCAACCATTTCATTATTATTAACCTAACAAAAACAATGAGCAGAAGTGATTGCTTTACTTCATATTTTATCTGGGATTTCTAGTTTATTTTTTAATGCTCACTGCTAAATATTACATATAAGAAAAATATATTTTCTTGGAGTGAAACTACAGAAAAATTAAAGAATATATTTTATAGTAATTCTTTTTATAGTGCTTTCCTAATTTACATTCATTGGGAAGTTAAATTCCTGATATCTAATAGGTAAAGTCAAATCTAAACTCACAGATTCACACTACATAAAATTTCTAATATTACAATTCCTGAAAAACAATAGCAAACCTTTATTGAGTGCTTACTATACGCCAAACATTACTTTAAGTACATTAAATGGAGTGACTTGTTAAATTCTCACAATCTTGTAGGGCAGGTATTATTATTAGCCCCATTTTACAGATGAAGAAATTAAAGCACAGAAAGGTTAAGTAACTTGCTCATGGTCATAAAGTTATTAGCAGAGCTGGGATCTGAACCCAGGTGGTCTGGTTCCTCAGTTTCAATTTTCCAAAATCTAAAAGTGAAAAAAAGGTGTTAATTATAAGGCAGAAAGGAACTGGAATGAGAAAAATATATCCAGCCTTCAACTAATGCCATTCTCTGATTTCACTTGATTAAAAGTTGCCCAAGAGTGTCATCACTGAAGATGGTCGACTAAGGACCTCCAAGAATTCTCTCTTCCATAAAAGCAACAAAAATTATTGGCAAAAACATCCAGAATCACTTTTTCAGAACTCCAGAACTAGCAAAAGGCTTGCAGCAACCTGAACAGTGTTAGTTCAAATAACTGAGTTATCAGTAACCTAGTCCCATCCCCTCTCTCTAGCTACACGGTATCCTTTAAGAATAAAAGCCTCCTGGCATTCCTTATGTAGCCTGACAGGCACCAGAGGAAGGAGAATGGATAAAGTTCTTTCAAAGTCTTACTTCCAGGCACTGAGTTTCCGTTAATGGTGATGTAATAATTTGGAAAATAATAGTGGTAAATGGTTGCACAATATGATGAATGAGATCAATGTCACTGAATTATACGTGTTAAAACTGTTGAACTGGCAAATATTTTCTTATATATTTTTTACAATTAAAAAAAGTTTCATTCCCAAAGACTTGTCATTATTTGACCTGTCTGGTGGTTCCTTAGAAGACCCCACTTGCAAGGCTGTTTGTATTTGTCCTAAGAGAAAAAAGAAAATCACGATAGTAGGCATAATATGATCTCATTTTTATTAATACATAATATGATTGCGATTTACATGCACACAGAGAAAACTGTGGAAGAAACATCAAAGTGAGTAAGTTACAGTTCTGAATGGTAGGTGTTAGGGTGATTTAATGCTTTTTTTTTTTTTAGCCTTTTTTAAAATAATGAACAGGTATTACTTATAAAATAACATGCATTTTTAAAAATAAAAAAATTAAATTCTGATGACTTTTAATCATCATAGAGATTATTCCAAGATCAAATGATGATAGTGCTAAGATCAATAACACAGCAGAAAACCATAATCTAATATTTTACCATTGTTTAATTTAGAGAAACACAAGTTTTGAAAAAATAGCACAAATCAGAAGTAGAAAAGCATAGAAATGATACGGTTAGACAATAGATGGATATGAAATAAGAACTGAAAGAATTCAGGAAATAATCAGAAAAAAAGAAAAACCATTTCAGGATTGAAGACTAAAGTAGAAATAACAGAAAAGTAAATAGAACTTGTGAAAAACATGGTAAGGGAAATAAACGATGAAAAGTAGAAAAGTGATAAAAAGGATTTCAAAGGAAGCAATAGACACAGGCACAGGAAGTCTAATATATACAGAGATTAGTCCCTGAAAAAGAAAAACTAAAGCTTTGAAACAAAACATTTAAAACTACAGAAAATGTTTTCAAATAAAAGAAAATTTGAACTTACAGGACAGTCACTACTAAGTAAGATAAACCCTAATAAAACTGGACTTTCAAGATAAGGAAAAATATCCTTTGATCATTCAGGCAAAAAAATTCCAATTCACTTACATGGGAGAGAAAACCATAGTGGCATCGGAATTCTCACCAGCAACATTTTATGCAACATTATGGTATTATGGAGAGAAAACACGGGCCGAGGATTATATATTCAGCCAAACTGCCCTTCAAGTATGAACACCACCAACTATGACCATATAAAAACTCAGGAAATAACTGATCCTTTCTATAGAATTTCCTAGAAAGTATCTTTCAGACAACTACAGAATGATCTGAAAAGAAATTTCAATCTAAAGAAAATACAGGAGAACTGAAGCAGAGACAAATAACATATAATTTCTACCCAAGGAATCTCCTGCAGAACACGATTCAGACAACCAAAAAATGATTTGAGAAGCTTCAACCTAAGAAAAATAAGGGGCAATGGAAGAAGTGACAAATCCAGAATATTATACAGAATAACACAGCTGGTTTCTGCAACAAGTCAATGACATGGAAAAAAAAGGGCAGGAGGATTATGAAGCATAATAAAGATAATGTATGAACATTGTTTTGATGCTGATAGGAAAAAACCAACTATAAAAAGATAAACAAGAAAATATGATATGGATTACTTCTTAGACATAAGACGGAATTATTAATTTTCACTATAAAAAGGACACAAAAACGTACTTTTTAAAAGATACACCCTGAATTACATGAGCATAAAATGTTAATATGTTTGGGATTTGCTTTAAAGTACAAAAGGACAATTTGTTCTGTAAACCTTCATCTAAACTACAATAAATAAATACTGAGAAAAAAAAGATTTAGTAAAAAAACATATAACAATAAAGTACAAAAGGAAAAAGGATAGCAAATGCGGAAAAATCTTGTTGTTGAATTTGTGTCAAGAGTATAAGGGAGTTTACTATGCTAAACTACTTTTATGTATGTGTGAAATTTTTCATTATAAATTCAACAGAAGTAAGTAACACAGAGGCATACTAGACCACCATAACAAAGACAACTACCGACCAGATAAAGTTATATTCTCTTCTCTTTCGAATTCATATACACATACACGCACGCACACACACACACAATGCAGAGAATAGGGAGATACAAAAAGGTAGATACAGGAATAAAAAAACAGTGGGAGACAGAGATAGTCTTTACTACAGGAAAAGAAAAAAAGCACACAACAACAGACAACTCTCTTACCTAGCAGGAGCTGATCTTTCAAAATTTAAAATATTAAAATGTAGAAATGTGCTAAGGGACAGAAGAGGAGAAAGCAATGGAATTGGAAGTCGTTTCTCAAATATACCATTTATTATCTGTGTGTTTTGGGCAAACTGTTTAACCCCTTTCTGAGCTTTGGTTCCTCCATTATAAAAAGGGGATACAGATGTCCTATCTACCTCAGAGTTATTGTAGGAATCAAATGAGACAGTGCAGGCAAAATGCTTTGTATACTGTAAGCATAAGAGAATATTAATCAAAGTAGTTCAGGTATCTGTTATCTCTTGACTGGGTATATTCAATTACTTAAATAGTAAAAATAAATATTAACTGCACATATCACCTTCTAGATTCTCTTATTTCCTAGGTTAACACCATAAACACAATTTAACTTAGTATCTACTGTTATACTCACTACTCCTGTGTAATAGCGTAGTCCAACCACATGCCCTCTCAAAGTTCCAAATAAAACAGAATCTAGCTCTTCATCACTAGTTAGGAAGTCATCTGGAGGGATAATATCTTGGAATTCAAAACGGGGAAAGAAAGTAGGATATGAAAGGCGTGAAACATTTCCATGGGCTCCATACTGGACAGTCTGCAAGTACTTCCAAACAGGATCTCTATTTAAAAAAAAAAAAAAAAGTCACTGAAAAACAATACAATATTTAACCAGGTATTTCTCAAAGACCCTACCAGTTATGTATAGGCCACAGTTTTCTCACACTTTATTCATACAGCAAATGAAATCAAACGTGGGAACCACTGTTTACAGATTTAAGAGTTACCCTGGTTTAAGCCCAAATTGGAGTGGGAGAGGTTTCCAGGAACCCTATCTGTTCAGTATTGCCTCCTCCACCCCTAAGACATTCAAAATGAAAATTAAAAAAAAAAAAAAAAGTGTTCTCAGATGTCTTGATTATCCTAGGTATCATCAATCAATCTATATAAATTGAAATATATGCAAAGTCTGTAACTCTATATGCCAGAATTTCAATGACGATTGAGCTAGAAGAGACTTGCAAAACTCGAACTATTATTATAAATGCAGAAATTTATATTACAGATAACACATTCCATCTCTGGATTACCGCAGTAGACACGGAGAGTCCATGCAACATTCACTGCTTTCGTTTCCTCCGCAAAGAACCCTTATTTTACTCGGGTATCCAAACCCCCGCCCCCTCCCCGCTAGTTCCAGGACCACCCCAGACCCCTTATAGATAACTGTTTCAGGAATGGGAAAGTAAACCGATTTACAGAATGAAAAGTGAGAGGGAATGTGTTGGGGGGCCTCCAGGAAGTTTCCCTTCTCCTAACACCCGCTAGTCGCTGCTTTCCCCGCGTTTGCCTCGCACATCACGCAGACCTCCGGCTCCCCTGTAAATACGTATTTGCACGTCTGTGCAGGCACAACAACTGATCGAAGCTCCCTGGGGACAAGGACTGCCTCATTCGGCCCTGTACCCAGAGCACCATGCCTGCACAGTGGGTATCTAATGGACGTTCGGTGGAATAAATCACGGGCCGGAATCCTGGCTACGGTGCCCCAGGCCCCCGCAGCCCTTGACAGAGATTTCCCAAGGCCCTGGCACAAGACTCGCCTCTCCTCCCGTTTTTATTTCTTCCGCGGCCACAGAAGCGTCTGGCACAACGAATACAAGCAGCACAAACGGCACAGGGAGCGCGGGAGGGGCGCTGGGAAGGTCAGGTTCATCTGGGGACGCCGCCGCTCCGTTAACCCCAGCGCCCCATCCCTCCGCCCGCTTTACCTCTTGAACATCCAGGACATGGCGCTGCGTGGGGCGGCCAAGGGAGGTCCTGAGCGTCCGCGGATCGTTCTCGAGTCGCCTCTGTACGCCTCCTTCCAGGCCCCGCGGCCAAGAAGCCGGAGACAGGTTCCGAACCCCGGAGGAAGAGCGACCACCAGACGACGAGACACCGGGAGTCCAGTCAGATGTCGACGCTGTCTCCTTCCAGCAACAATCTGAGAAACCGGCGACCTTTCTGACTGGCGCTGGGCGCGTCCAATCGCGAGGAAGAGCCTACGGAGACGAGCCAATCAGGGCACGGAGAGGAGTGCGACTCCGCCCCGCGCTGCGATTCACAGATGGTGGGGGGCCCGGGCTGCACGGGTGGTACCATCCGGGTCCTTCCCCGCCCCCAATGCGGGCGCGCGGGAAGTCCTTGCAGTCCCTGGGGCCCGACTGCGGTGGCCGTGGTGCTCGTTTTTCTGTTTGACTGCCTGCGGCAAACACTGGAAAATGTGTTTTCTTTAGCTTTTTCCCCCAGCCTTAAGCCTCAGCCTCATTCTTCAGGCCCTACCTGATCCTGCCTCCAATTTTCTCCTCATCTGATGTGACATGTAATAGGGTCTTCCACTGAATAAGCTCCAAGGTTTACAGACCCAGAGCTACCAGCGAGAAGCTTTCCTTAATTTCCTGTGGTAAATCCTGGGGTGTTATCCTCAAAATTACGTTTCATTTTAAGCCTCACTAGCATATAGGGTCGCTATGAGTCGGAATCGATTCGAGGGACAACTGGTTTAGCATATGTATGAGATTCTCAGAAAATCTTGATTGGATCTTAGATTTATAGAGTACCCTTCCCACATTGGTTGTTTTTGTTGCTGTTTTTAACGAAATTTTTCATTTCTTAATACAGGAAAGTACAGCACTGGCGTCAGTTGCTGTCTAGCGGGCTCTGACTCATGGCAACCTTACCTATAATAAAAGGAAACATGGCCTGGTTCTGCACCAGCCTCACAGTCCTTGGACTATTTCAACCCATTGTTACAGCGACCGTGTCAATCCATCTCATCAGGGGCGGATTACCCAGTGAACAAAGTAAACCAGGATTTACTTGTGTTTAGTTACTAATCTGTAATGAATAATTTCACATGGGTTTCACCACGCCACATCAAAGTGAAACCCATGTGAAACTGTGCACTGCAGGTTAGTAAATAAGTGCAAGTAAACCCGTGCTTACCTTGCTTACTGGGTCATCTGCCCCTGTCAGGTGTTATAAATTTGAAAAGAGGCTTTGACTCTGTAGGAAGGTGCTGTGGGTTGGGAGAGAGACGGATGCTAGCATTACCTAGGAAGCAGAAGTTTGATGTGGTGAAAAATGTGAAATTGTTCACTGCAGATGATATGGTAAGCACAGTGTTTACCTTGCCTATTGGCGAATCCACCCATGCATCTCATGGAGGGTTTCTCTGGTTTTCAATGACTCTTTACCAAACATGCTGTCTTTTTCTAGTGATTGGTCTTTCCTAATAACATGTCCAAAGTAAGCAAGATGGAGTCTTGCCATCCTCTTCTAAGCAGCATCTGGCTGTACTTCTTCTAAGGCTGATTTGTTCATTCTTCTGGGAGTCCAGGTATTTTCAATATTCTTCACTAACACCGCAATTCAAATGTGCCAATTCTCCTTCGATCTTCTTTTTTAATTGTCCAGCTTTCGAATGCATATGAGGCTACTCAAAAGACCTTCGCTTGGATCAGCCGCATCTTGCTGATCAAAGTAACATCTTTGCCTTGTGACACTTTAAAGAGGTCTTTTGCAGCAGATTTGTCCAATGCAGTGCGTTCTTTGATTTCTTGACTGTTGCTTCTGTGGGCATTGATAACTCCGAAAGCCATTGCTGGAAATTGCTGGGGCACAGCTTCCTCTGAGGCATGTGGCTGCCCCAAGGAAGGAACTTGTTTCCCTCCGGGAACTGTTAGAGGCAGTCCAAGACACTCCATGGCCAGATTGCAAGAGACTGCGAAGAACTCAGCCTTCAGTAGGTGGACTAGTGAGCCAGCTGTAGCCAAGGGTGTGCAGGGCTGGTACTGGCAGGTTCTGGCGCCTTGGGAGCCAAAGAGATTCTGCTGCCAATTAAGGAGGCCTTTTTGGTTCAGCTACACCAGAACTAGATGAAGCTGGTGGTGGTTCTGAGCCATACCTACTTGCAGATTGCAGTTGTCAGATTATCAGAAAAGAATTGCTGGATCAAAGAGGAAATGTGTTTGTAAATGTGATAAATATTGCCGATTGCCCTTCATAGAATGGTCCGTTTTACAGTCCCATCAACAGAGTAAGAGAGGCAGTCAATAAAACAGTTTTTCTAGAGACATTTGTTCATTATCTTAAATAAACTATACCCATTGCAATAGCAACCTATAGGACAGAATAGAACTGCCCCGTAGGGTTTCCAAGGCTGTAAATCTTTACGGAAAGAGACTGTCATATCTTTCTCCCTCAGAGCGGCTAGTGGATTCGAACAGCCAACCTTATGGTTAGCAGCTGAGAGCTTAACCACTTTGCCACCAGGGCTCCTAAATAAACTATGGTGGTCTGTCAACTTGAGCCAGAGTCACTAAGTAGCGCAAACTGTTACCATGCTAGGCTGCTAACCAAAAGATTGGTGTTCAAGTCCATCCACAGGCACCTAGAAAGAAAGTCCTGGCAATCAACTTTTGAAAAATCAGGCGCCGAAAACTTTATGGAGCACAGTTCTATTCCGACACACATGGGGTTGCCATGAGTCAGAATGAACTAGAGGGCAGCTAGTAAACATGAGCCAGCAGTGCAGTGAGAAATAGATTTGGCAGCCGTGTATTGATTTATCTCACCAAACACAAGGAGGACGATGAGGAGGATGAAGACAGTGGCATTTCAATTATCTTCATCATTTTACTTTCTTCTTGAAGTATTAAGAGGCAAGTGGAATAAGTTCAATTTCTGGTGTGCCAAATTCTGCATAAATTCTTGGAAAATATGCCAGAAAATGCTCAGATTGGTAATGTTTTGCCTGTTAAAGTAACGAATCCATGCTCGTTAGACAGAAAGAGAAAATTCTGTGAGAATACAGGCAATCCTGGCTCTTTCTAGACCTAAGATCTGTGAATAAGTGTCCCATGGCTAAAGATTGCAGCTTGAAGAAGTAAAAATTTTCCTGTTTAAAGTCAACATTTTTCTCCATATTGGTACTATTTTACATCTCAGATCCGCTAGTTCAAGTTGGACACTATTTTTTACCTCATTATTGTTCCTGGGTGGAGACCCCAGGTTCTTGCGCAGCGTGACTTGTATTGGCCAATAAATGAGAGACCGAGGTGGGAGAGCAAGAAAGCACCTTTATTTCATTGTACAAGGAAAATGGAGTCAGTTGGAGCTGCTGCCGAGGCTGCTCCCCAAAGGAGGGCAGGCAGGTTACTTTCAAAGGGGTTCACAAGTAGGGAGTTCATACAAGTTATGTTAGCAACATTCTTAATCATACTGTGCAGGTGCAATGGGGTTTACATAGAACCTCCAAGCAAAGGCAAGATTCAGATGCAAAGCTGAGGTGGGAGGGAGCCCAACAAAGGAAACAATTTTGCAATTCAACACTGTAGGGGAGGAAGCCAGGTAAAAGGTAAAGAATACAGCACTGTGGGGGTTCTTTTTATTAAAAACAAAAATGAGGTTAAGTGCAGTTTGTACTAGTTAGATTGAAATGTTACAACAGTTACAAATTCAAAAATATCACACTAGATGTTCTCTGGAAAATGAACTAAACATTTGTAACTTTTAGAAAAAGGAACTGTAGGGTGACCTGTGTGGTTGTAAGGAGGAGAGTGGCAAACAAAAAGGGTGACAGGGAAGATAAGGGCCAGATTACATAGGAATTTATGGTCTACGGCAAAGTTGTATTCTATTTAAATGCAATGGAAAGCCATTTAATGTTTGAAGCAGAGAATGACAATCTGATTTAGTCTTTAAAAAAAATCACTCTGGCCGTTCTGGGGCTAATGGGTTATAGGGAACAAGAAACAAGAACAGAAGCCAAGAGACCTGTCAGCTGATAATTAGAAACTCTGTTTTTCAGATAAGAGATGATAATGGCATTTGTGTCCCCCCACCGCCCCGCCCCACCCGGCCAAAATATGTGTTGGAATCCTAACCCCTATACATATGGAGGAGCCCTGATGGCTCAGTGGTTAAGAGCTTGGCAGCCAAAAAGTCAGCAGTTCGAATCCACCAGCCGCTCCTTCGAAACCCTGTGGAGCAGTTCTACTCCGTCCTACAGGGTCGCTATGAGTTGGAATCCACTCAACGGCAACAGGTTTGGTTTTGGTTACCAGCTGTGCAAATTAATCATATCACTCTGATGCCATCAGCATGAAATCAAAGAATGGCATGTGTGGCTCTTTAAGATCTGTTCTTTTCCTCTTGTTCCAGCCTCACATCTCTTGTCACTTCCCATCCCTCCTGCCCATAATGTACTTCACTGACTTCTCTAAAAAATACAGATATTTTTATACAGTGAAACCTGTGACAGCCAGCACTCAACAGGACTGGCCTCGTTTTTCCAGTTCTTGAAAGTTTTCCACCTTTGGCAGGGTGCAGTGTTACCACTTTTCTATCGCTCGTTTTAGTGGAAAATATTTGAGTTTTCCTTCTCTGATAGGTTTCAGCCTTACGTAGGTTCCAGCTTTCACAGGTTTTACTGTATATAAGCATAAGGCTATTATCCCACCCAATGTAATTAATAATAAATCAATCCTTGATGTCTTCTAATAAATAGTTCATTATCAAATTTTCACAATTGTCCAAAAAAAAATTTCCTTTTACACTTGGTTTGCAAAATAGAATTTTGGTTAAAAAAAATAAATAACTTCAGAAAACTCTGGAGTTCCAAAAATCTGGCTTCAATACAAAAAATTCCCGAGTTTACATTATAACAGATTCCAGAAGAATGAATGATGATGTAAGAGCTTGTTTGTTTGTTTGCTTCTTTCACTCAAAAGGACATAAAGTTCAATGGAGCAGGAGAATTTTCAGGAGCAGAATTTTAAGGATCAGGAATGACAGGCTGGATGAGGTCTGCAGAGTAAATCCCTAAGTGGGTCTTAAGTAAAGGATCTGGAATGCCATCACCTTGGGCCAAGCTCCACAAAGGCAGGAAAGTTTCCAGAGATCCCATAAGCAAAGGAAGCTGTAGCTCATCTCCCATACAGTAGGTTCAG